CAAGCTGCTAACGAGTTTTTTTTAAACGTTTCATTGTTCATGCTGAACAAGTCCAATTGACCAGGTAGGTTTTTTGCCAGACGTTGCAGACGAGGAAGTGCACTGTGGTACATGTACTGTGTTGAGTACTGCCGCCTCGCAAACAGCTGGGTATGGCGAAGGCTACGTGATGTGCGGAAGTCTAGTTCCAAGAGCAGGTCGGGAGCATCAATGGAGGATGTGATCAATTTCTTCAGGAATAAGACATCATTAACTCACGTCTGGTAGAAAGAGGCAACAGGTTCAACTGGAGTTGCAGATCATGAACAGGAACAGCACGGTATTGCATCCCCAAACGTAGACCAACCAGGCGAACAAAACGGCTTTGAGTGTTTTCCAGCCTGGCGATCTGACCAGACTGGTACGGATTCCAAACTGTGGAGGAAAACTCAAGTATGGGTCTGACAAGATGGATATAAAGAGTTACCAGTGCCGATACTGAAAATCTGTCATGACTGACCCTGGTGATGAAATTAAGTGCTGAGTTGGCCTTCTTGCAAATGTAGTTAATGTGCTCTTGAGGATTGAGGTCAGGAGAGAGTATGATGCCTAAGTCTTTGACCTTTGAAGAACGTTGAAGTTGCTGATCTGCTAGTTTATACGGATGAATAATAGGATTATTAGATCTGGTGAAGGTTACCACAGAGCACTTTGAGACATTCAAAGACATTTCATTCATCTGGCACCACACTGACAGTAAATCAATACTATTCTGTAGAGCCTCGCAGTCTCTCACATGTGAGATCTCTCTGAAGATCTTGGCATCATCAGCAAAAAGCAATACATTTGAATCCAAATGCTGAACCAAATCATTGATAAATATGGTGAACAAGGCCGGGCCCAGAAGCGATCCCTGAGGAACCCCGGAAATAGCAGGAAACGGTTGAGACAACGAGCCAGCCACTCGCACCTGAAGAAACCGATCCTGGAGGTAGCTCTCTAACCACATTAGAAGGGGTCCATTTATTCCAATGGCTCTAAGTTTAGCTATCAGATGTTTGTGGCTAACTCGATCGAAGGCCTTGGAGAAATCCGTGTAAACAGCGTCAATCTGGTGGGAATTTAAGAAGGCAGTAGTAACATTACTCTGGAAGGACAAGAGGTTCGTAGTGGTTGAGCGTCCCTTCATAAATCCATGTTGTTCTGCATTAATCACACTCTTCAGAGCGAACGACAATCTCTTCAGCACAAGCGATTCAAAAATCTTTGCTAATGTGGACTGGATAACAATAGGGCGATAGTTCCTGACATCAGCAGGAGATCCGGACTTAAAAATTGGAGTTACATAACCATTCTTAAGATTTGAGGGAAAGACACCAGCAGCCATGAGTGAGTTGAAATATATGGTGATATGAGGTGATAAAACACTGCTACAGAACCTCAAGACCAAATAGCTGAATAATCAAGTTTTTTAGTTGTTAAATAAGGCTAAGAAGCTCCTCACTGCGCATCTTTAGTATAAGTATCCCTGATTTGGTTATCCAAATAAATAAAGGACTGTGAACAAACCTTAGCATAACCAAATAAATAAAGGACTGTGAACAAAACTATAGCAATGCATTGTAATGTATTTTTATAAGAGTAAAAATAAAGATATAATACGTAGCAATGCGAGATATTTGTTTTAACATAAAAAAATATATATATTGAAACAAAAGTAAGGAAGGGTTGGTAGAAGCAGCGAGCTTGAAGATTAATGACGACTTTTAAAATAACAAGCTCTTAAAAATCTCTTCGGAGTTGATCTAATGTATTTCCACAGCTAACGCTTCCTTAACTTGATTTTGAAACTTTTAACCCTTTTAGGAAACCGTAAATCAATTGGTTATGGTAATTACTCTAAGACATGATTTAAAAATTATAGAAAGAAATTATAAAATAATACGTATAAAGTTTTCTTGGAGAGGCCTTGAAATCTTTATTACTTTTCGTAAGAGACAATAGAAGTTCCGGACACATGGATATTTATTTTCTTTGACGCTTCAGAACGTTTGGAAATACAAGGAGTTCTGGCTGTACGCCATCGTAGTTGAGAGCTTTACCAAGGCTTAGCTGTGAAAACCCTCCCCTTGTCTCTCTGGGACATAGTAAATTAAGTATATTGTATTTTACTCAGTTTCTCTAAACATTTGAGCATATCAGCACGTAAGATTCATCATGAATGTATATATTTACTATCTGATCTTGTAAAAAAAAATAGTTAGTTGTATATTCTAAACTTGAGACTGTACTTAATATATATATATAAATCTACAATAGGCAGTATTATGTAAAAAATGTCCTTTTATGTTATTTTAACATATTTATTTATTTCTATGTACAGTACAATAAGATTATCATTAAACTGTAAACTATGATTCATCAGTTCTAAGAATACGTGCATTATTTTCATTTAGCCTCTAACAGGCGGTTCCTAATTGTGTTTTGCTATTTATTGTACTAACTAGGTTAGTAAAAAAGATCACCAGTAAGGTCATATTGTATTTTTATAAGAAACAGGATATATTTATGAATGATGTCATTACTGACCTTAAATTACTTAACATAAACTGAACTTGGCAATTAAAATACCATAATTTTATAACAATATAATTTTATAATACTAGACTTTTACTAACATTCAAAGACCCCAGACGATATAACTATTGCACAGAGGTTATCTATAAACCTAGATTCACCGTATTTTTTTCTTTATAATTTATTTTCTTTTTCTGAAACCAGGGTTTCCAAAGTTTTCAAAGGGGACTAGGAAGTGAATATTAGCGTGTCTTCACTTTCCATAGGAACGAAATGGTTCAATAGGACCTGTAATATATCTTTCTGTATATGTTTTTAATTTGAAATTTGAAGCTAATTTCAATCGTTACATATATATTCGGTAAAAGTTAGTATGCTTCTTACAATTAATTGTAAAAGTACTTTTTATTATATTTACTATCTCTGTATTATATTTAAATTACCTTCTAGAGCCTTCATCTATATTTGAATATACATTTTAAGGCTTAAACAAAATTATCAGGTAATTCATTTTTCTAGATATAATAGCTATGTAAAAACGATGAATAACCGTAACACGTAAACAAGTTTCTTTGCACTGTACAACTTTGTATTCCAGCAGGTTAGTCTGCAGTTGACGTGTTTCTCGTGAGTTTATCGCTTTCTGAATAATTCAATAGTTACCAGCAGATCTAAAGCCTTCACTGGCGGGACTGAACACCGGCTTACGATGTGTCTCATGAGAAAATCGTTTGAGTAGCATTATTGAAAACTAAGTTAGCCTACATATGTGGAGCTGAAACTAAAACAATGGTAAATTGGTTTTGTGTTGTTATTATTTTGAAATTATATTCTCTGCACAGTATAGTAAAGTTCAACTCCTATCTTTTGTCAAACAGTTATATGAAGAGAAAAGTAATTTAGCTAAATCGCTCAGCGATGGGAATTTTCAAGTTTTAATCAGAGGAGTGGGGGATTCAAACCAACCTAATTACTTGCTGTTTGTACATAAAACATTATTTAATCATCCAAGATAAATAATTCTACAAGGTGATGATTGCGTATTCCCTCAGTGAAAAATATAATGATCTATTTCAAGAGCTCTGTGCATTACAAACGGATGATTTTTATTGACTTTTAAAAACCTCCATAACATGCTCAGTATTCCATTTTTACCTCTAAGGTTTAAGATTATCTTTATATTTTTGGTACTATTTTAGTTTCCTTGAGTTCTTTAAACGTCATAAAATAGTTATACATTTAAAATGTAAAGTACCTGTGTAGTCTATGTTACATGTATCTATAAAGTTAAGAAGGGTGTAGGTATATATTTGAGGCATTGTGTGATTGAACTGTCTACATGGTCTAAGAATGTATATTTTATGTAGAATGTACAGTACTAATATTTTGGGGAAATATTTATAACATAAACTTTGTCTATTCAAGTATTTTTCCTGTATAGGTTTTACTCAAACTAAATTATATTAACCAGTCACATCGCTCTGTATCCCATAAAACTACATAGCAGACGGTATAGTAGAGGTACCAGTAAGGAATAATAATATGCATGATATGAAAATCCGCGCACGGGAGGTATGAGAATATCGATGAGCACCAAGATGGAATGCATTTTATAAGAAAGCTTTGTTCAATATAAGTTTATTTCCTCCCAGTGTTAACATTTTATTTTCTATATAAGACTCAAACCAGAATATCAACAAATCGATACTATTATAATATAATGTTATAAATAGTTTAAAGAACAATAATTATTTAAACAGTTGATATTAGAGTTTATGTATGCAGTATACAAACGTGGATAAAGATCCTAACTGATAATGAAACAAACAAACTATGTAATACATGGAAAAAAATGTTTTTTTCAAAAATAATTTGTAAAAATTACAACTTATTTATAATGTTTTGGAAATTTGTTAAGTTATTATTATTAAATGATTTATTTTCAATATCCAGACGTAAAATGTGTTTCTGTAAATTTTAAAAATAGAGAGCCCAAATCAGCTTTTCAAAATAAGAATTTTTGTAAGTATTTTACCTATATTTATCACTAAGATTAGTAGTAAAGATAAAAAAATATATTACCAGAAAAAACATTGAATAAAAGAACGCATGCGAAAATATGTTTTAGTCAGTTAGTCACGCTAAAAAATTTGGTTGCAGGATAAAATTGAAGTAGACTTGCACTTGTAAGGCTACGACTATTTCTTGCTATATACATTCTCGTCAAAGGTTGCAATTTTACTGAGAACTTTAAAATACTAACACCACTCTTAATGAATTCCAAACAACAAAATTAAGAACCCTCGAAACCCATTTCCAACAAATTTTGAAGATTGCTAAGATTGCTCGAAAGGTGGCTTGGATTCTTATGGTAGTTCAGGGACCTTAAAAACTAGATACACATTCCAAAAACTCAGTTTTTCATGTATCAAATTTTGTTGCAGTCAGAACCGGGGATGACGGAATGGCCATTCTACAATCATGTTGTTGTTGGCGATCTCTACGAAAAGGGAGCTACGCCAGCGCCATCTATACAGCTGTGAGTAGAAAGCTTTAAACTAAAACCCGTGATTCTTTTTTAGTAAATTCACCACAATCTACACTTGTATACAGGGTGTATAACATCTTAGATATATTTTGTGTATTTGTTCCTCAGGTAAAAAAAATTAAAGAAAATTGTATACAAATGCGTCTAAAATGTCTGGTTTTTCATCTGCCTTGTGTATGTGATTTTCAAAATGTATCTATAGATGTTGTACCCTGTAAGTAATTGATTTCAAACTTAGTTCATAATTATGTAGTGGAAGTATTGGATTTCTAAATACTATTAATTTAAAATGGTAGCCATTTGAAATTTCATATCTAAAAACAAAGCGATTGCACCAAAAAGTTTCCAGAGAGTATGCATACAACCTGGAAGAAATAATTTTGTAGAAAGACCTTATAATCAATATAATAATCGAGATCTTAGGGATAAACTGCAACTTAAGGTTTGCCCTGATACCCAGCACAGTGCTTGTAGCAAAATAAAAATATTGCATGCATTGCATTAGTAAATAAACAGGGGCTGCTAAAATTAATAATGGCTTTACTTTGATCAAGTATATAGCGTTACAAAGATAGCTTGATCGGCAAAACTTCATATAAAATTATTTGTTTATCTTACTCTCACATTTATGGTATTGGTTAGTATTGTTATGTAAGAGAGGTATTTAGCTTATTTGTTACGATGCCGGTTTTAAAATAAATCGGCGACTTTCTTTGGAATAGTTGATAGTTGATGGGAAAAAAGTATTCACTTACATTTACCCATTTAGCTACAAAATATAATTTATCCTGTTAGGGTTTTTTAGTGACACAAAGGCCTAAGTAATCTTATATCTTGTAGGTTTTGATTAACCGTCACTTAATATTTTCTTATTTCAATTGCCCTGGGATTTTAAACTTGGATACTTAATAAGATATGGGGAAATCAGTGCCAACATAATACATTTTATTGCAATTACCGACATATAACTTAGAACTTTATTAGAATTAGAAATGTCGAACATCTTCTACCGGAATTGCAGAAATCGACAGGAAGTGACTCTGCAGCCTCATTACTTTGCCAAATCACTATCTGGCTGCAAAACCTACTAACCTGTAACTTAAATGTATTTTCTCATAATAATAATTCTCCTGTACAGTTTCATGTCGTAGTTTATCTTCTCCAATACTACAACATCGTGCCACAAAATTCAGCAGACAAACTTATAAACCTAGCCAGATTATAAACGCCATGATAGAGTATAATATGAAGGTTATTATACACTCTAGTTTTAAGTCCTAGCTACAAAAATAAACTTAACGAAAACATAACAGGTACCATAAATGCTTTTAATGTTTCATAGGAAGTTAAAACTGATTTAAGCCTTAATCCCGTTTCAGTTTCATTTAGTGGAGTGTTTAGCCGATAACTGTTTTAAGAAGAAAAAGAGCTGTAAAATAATACGAAAGAGATTCTTAAAAACATAAAAGTATAGCTTTAATTTTTAACCTGTATGTTTAATATGCTCCTATTGAAAAGCTCTACACATTCAATTATCTTAAACTACTGACGCCATTATAAATAGCATTTATAAAATATTGTATTTTTTTTTATTCAATGTAAGGGTCGATGCACTCATTTTATTCTAAAAGCATTTTATGGCATGTGAATTGCAATGTAAATGACGATATAATTGATCGAATAATATTAGAACATGTTACTATTGTTATTATTTTAGAGGTTAACTATAAGGGTGGACCATAGGATCCTAAGTTCATCTAAAAAAAAAAAAACGAAGCATTTTCATTTCATTTTATTTTAAATAACGCTATAATCAATCCACAAATTATTAAAAAAATAATATTTGTTTAAATAATCGGGTGTATTATCTGTATCGCAGTAAAACAAAAAGGTTAAACATTGAAGTCGTTAATTGTGGCCTATCTGGAACGATGGGTTTCCCGTCCTATATAAACACACTTTTATCTGCTCCACTGCTATCTTGGCGAAATAAATACAACGCAGGATAAAGGTATTAAAGAACACAATATTTTCTAGAGTTTCGTTTCCTTTAATCGTACACAGTATTCTTTTATAACACTGATAGGTAATAAAATATTATTTCTTAATAATATTATATTAAACTACTGACACCAGTATTAATATAGTATTTTTGGTTAGTATTTTATATTTATTATTAGTTAGTTAGAGGTTAACTGTAAGAAAGGACCATTGGGTTCCTAAGTTCACCTCAATAAAAGGGATTTTATTTTCATTTTCATGTTTGAAAAACAAAAAAATCTAAAAACTCTTCTCATACACTTATTATTATTACGAATATTATTACACCACGATTTTATTCTTAGTTTAATAGTTTTTTTTTAAAATTACATTTGTTAAAAGTGAATCTTTCACGTGTAACTAACCAAGAAATAAATAAATTTGTCTTTAATATGAATATCCATAACAAGTTTTACGCGTGTTATATTGAAATGTTATTGTTCAATATATTTAAACGTTATAATGTATTTATTTACTTGTATTTATACGCTGCATAATAGTATATTTATAGTATATTTATTATTTAAATATAACTAATCAGATATAAAATACTGTATTATAATATTAAAATTTTATCGTTAAATATATTTAAACGTTATAATGTATTTATTTACTTGTATTTATACGCTGCATAATAGTATATTTTGTACCTGGGGCCGAAAATGAAGTTTTACCGACTCGATATCACTTTCGAGACGAAGTCGAGAACTAAAACGATCGAGAGCTGCAGAACCTTTTCGGCCCGTGGTTCGAACGCTATTTTTCACCACACTATACAAAATTAAGAACATGTATACAATAAATGCACACAACTACAACTTTAAGGTTAATTAAAGAAATATTTAGAGGAATCAGAAAAATAATAAATAGTTACTAGGCAGGGGTGACATTATAACTAGTCTATTACAATGCATAATACTGCTTGTGTATTTCATATACATTAATGTTGTAAGTAAAAAAGCGAAGAGCAGATTTTTGGCCTTAAGTATGTAAAAACCTGCTCGGTCCCCAAATCACTACGACATCTGGCATAGACAACAATGCATATCATTCAGCCTCCAGAATTGTCTTTTGTAAAACGGCTTAAGCCATAGAGTGGTGGAAATGGTTATTTATGTAACTACAGTGAGCAAAGGCCATTTGCGCTCTTAATACACATTATATTTTTCCTACAGTCACTATAGAGCATATAAATAATTAGTCTTTCGAACTTATACGTTTTCAGGTTAGGTTGAACCAAAGCGTTGTAGGCATATGCAAAACACTGCACCAGCTGATTTTAGTCATAGTATCTTTAAAGCGTTACCATTGACTATTAATAGTCAAAGGTGTTACTTATTTTCGAGAGTACACGTTTGAACAGTAATATATATATACAGTATATAACAGTATATAAGTACATAAGGCTACAAATTTGTTGTAATTGCATATGTTTGCGTCATGTTTAACTTAGGTTGTTTTCTTGAGCATAGAATAAATGTTCCAAATAGTTGAAGACTTAATCACTTTTGATTGTTCTGCAAAATACGAATACACATTTTCTGTCAGTTTTGTAACTTTCTTACCTACGCACCAAAAAGAAAACAGTTTGCATGCTCTTTCATACTTCTTTTTTGATTTTTCAGGTAACGGGTTTCACGAAACATGTTTTGCAGTTTCTGATATTTCTTCTAGTGTACATATATATTCACTACCACTTTCACTGAATTCATTATTTTCAAATATGTTAGGTCCGCTTATTCTTTTTAATACTACACTTTCGGTTATGTTCAAACCAAGCGTTGAACGAAAATAGAATATAAACACGAAATGACAGGTTAAACTGTAGCATCAATAGTCAATCAGCTGATCATAATAGTAGTATCTTTAAGTGTTGCCAACCTATTTCCAAGCGTAAGCGTGGATTACGTGCGTAATAAAACCACGCTATTTTGAGTTGTTTGGTTGGAATACAGGTGTGCGCCAAAGTATAAACCGTGCGACATAGTATAAATGGCAAGACAAAGTAAGTAAATGCAGCAATTAAAATTTTTTTGTACTATAATCAGTGCAATGAAGTCAACTATGTCGAGTAGCATTTTTTAGGAAAAATATTGTATACTGTTATAATTATAAAGAAACTTTTAAATAGAAAATAAATCGAATCAGTAACTGTAAGATAATTTTAGATTATGCTTTGACTTAAGAGTTTGTATGTTATGTTTAGGTTCTATGTCAATGATATGATTGTGTATTTCACCACAGTACTATAATATTCTTTAAACTGGCGTATGCCTACTAATAAAAAAGGATTATTAACAAGTAGTTTAATTTATAAAATTTACAACATGAAATACAAGTCACAGTGAAAACAAAGATGGAAATAATATAGAAAGGAGTCCAAAATAATTCCTCAGAAACTTCAAACCACTTTCCGTAAGTGCAACGCTCAGCAACTTTGAACTTTGAAAAGCTTTTAGATTCTTGGAACCCTTTACTGAGGTATTAGTTTAATTCGTTGAGTTTGGAATAGGACTGGGGTTTAGAATATATGAAACTAATCCATAATAATTCTAATTAATATAAATATGACATTGAAAAAAAGTAATTTTTGCTTGCTACTGTATTTAAAAATACCTCAACGAAATACGTTAACAGTACAAGCTTTTTGACTTTTGAAAAAATATGAATTTCGAATATGTTGTGTCTAATTAAATACTGAACATAAGTTATTAAAGAAATACGTATACTAAAGGCTGGAATTTATGAAAAAATGAAAAATTACATTGAAAATATGCATTGTATAAAGGTTTCAAAATGGCCCATGCCATACACATTTCTGGCTAAAAAGGCAACCAATTTTAAAATTGACATTCCTTTTGAGACTGATGGCACGTAAAAATAGCCAGTGTAAATGAATCTTCATCAATTATTCCATATATATAGATATTTTACGTCCCATAAACATAAAC